TGAGTCATCTTACCAGCCAAGAAGAGCCTCTTGTTTATGTTTGTTTGTTTGTTTGTTTGTTTGTTTTTGAGACAGGGTCTCCCTATAGCCCCCATTGGCCTGAAACTTGTTATGTGGATCCTGGCCTTCATCTCACAGAGATCTACCTGCCTCTGTCTCCTGAGTGGTGGGATTAAAGGCAAGCTGCCACACCCAGCCTCTGCTTTTTATTTTTTGATTGATTTGTTTTTATTTTTTGTGTATGAGTGTTTTGCTTGCATGTATGTAGCGCACCCATGTTGTACAATGTCCGCAGTGTTCAGAAGAGGGTGTCAAATCCCCAGAAACTGAAATTACAGAGGATTGTTAGCTGCAGTGTGGGTCCTGGGAAGCAAACCCAGGTCCTCTGCAAGAGCAGCTAGTGCTTTTTTTTGGTCTTTTTGAAACAGAAACCTGAACTGGCTCAGCAAACTTACCTAAGTTACTCCATTTTGTTCAGAGCCATTTTAGCAGCAACTTTGTTCCACACCAAAAGGAAAGGGGGGGCAACCTTGGGTCTTGGGAAATTGTTCTAGTCATGAATCATGGAATGTGCTAATTCCAGACATTATACATCTGACTAACCAGCTTGTTTTCGCTTCTGTAATCTGCTTGCTGTCTTGGGTCACCCTGACACAGGGCATAAGATCACCCTTGTTATCCTGTTATTGTATGACCACCTAGAAGTCATTTACCTTGACTGTCTTATTATACTTATTATAGCTAAAATAGTTGGCTAGTTTTAAGGTCACAAAGTTGGATGCCAAGCTATATGACTGTATCACTTGTCTGTATAAGGATTGGTTGTTGATTAATAGAGTCAAAATTCTGCTATGTTGTACAAACCTGATTGGTTCACAAGTGTCCTGTTTTAATAATAATTCTGTAATCCTATAAAAACTCTGACCTGACAATCACCAGGGCTGCTTCTACTCCCAAGATAGACAGCCCGGCCGGTCGAAAATTAAAATTTACCTTGCTACTTTTCTTAAAGTGGTGTTGGTGATTTTTTTATGAACTCTGTCCTATAACAAAACCCAGCACAGAACTGTGGAAATGAACTAGTAAGCCCTAATCTTAGTCAAAGAATTACTGGCAGCTGATTACTGCTGGGTAAGGAAGAGCTGATCTTCTTTGAGAGACTCTAGATAGGCTGATTAAACCCTGGTGTATGAACTTGCACTGAGGGACATCTTGGGACACTAACTTTACATAATAGGTCTTAATACAAATAACAAAATGTATGAACTCCAATGGGAGGGTGCTATGGGAGGGTACCAAAGAGGAAGGGGAAAGGGGGTATAAAGATGATTTTATAAGTTCACCGTGGCGCACATCTTTAGTTCCAGCACTCAGGAGGAAGAGGCAGGCAGATCGCTATGAATTCAAGGCCAGCCTGGTCTACATAGGGAGTTCCAAGACAGCTGGGGCTACAGGGAGACCCTGTCTCAAAACTACCAAAAAAGAAAAAGATGACTTTATGTATGAAATACATAAAAATTCAATTAAAAAAATTTTTTAAAGAATTTTTGGGGGTCTCCCTGTAGCCCCAGCTGTCCTGGAACTCACTATGTAGACCAGGCTGGCCTTGAACTCACAAAGATCGGCCTGCCTCTGCCTCCTGAGTGCTGGGATTAAAGGTATGCACCACCACACCCAGCCCTAAAAAAGAATTTTTATAACAACAAAAAAGAAGCTGGTGACATAGCTCAGTAGCTCAGTAGGTTGAATGCTTATTCAGCATTCCCAAAGTCCTGAGTTCTATCCCCAGTACCACAGAAATGGAACATGGTGGTACACACCAGTAATTTCCACATTTGGAAGGCAGAGCGAGGAGAATCAGGAGTTCAAGGTCATCTTCAGTACATAGTAGGTTTGAGGCCAGCCTGGGTTACATGCATCTGTCTCAGAAAAAGGGATGGGAGGCCCAGTCTTCACTCAACTTGTCAAGGCAAGACAGCTAAGTAGATGGTCTGACCATCCTCCTCAGCTGTCTCTAACAGGAAACACCCAGTAGGTGGGTAGTTAGGATTGATATAACAGCTGGAAGGAGACAGTCAACATGCCCATGAGGAAAATGACAAAGCTGGCCAGAGCAGGCAGGGACAGATGGAAGTACCAGCCACCAAGCTCTGTGTATACCTCCATCATGGACAGATTAGCTCTTTGTGTGTGATTTTCTTTTTTTTTTCCAATGCTAAGGATAGAATCCAGAACTTTGCCCATGTTGACCAAGTGCTCTACCACTGAGCTATATCCTTATCTCTCTTTGTAGGTGACTTTGATTTCATTTGTCTTGACCTCTTCCTGAGTTAAACAAAGGCAGGCATGAGTTCATCTAGAGCTGGTTGGGAACGCCATACCTAATGATGGACACTCATGAATGTTTACAGTGATGTGTGAATCTTTCTACCTGAAGTCTGACTGTACACCCCCCTTCTCTGTCTCTTTCCCAGTCTGTCCCCTCTGCAGGGTGGGCACCCCCAGCCTGGGCCTCCACAGCAGCAGGGAAGGCATGCACATGGCTGGAAGATGATCAGTAACACCATGCATTTCCTCCCTCCATGGGGGACCGCTGGGGGCATTAAACTCATGTGAAGACTCTAAGAACTCCTCCCTTAAAACCACACTCATGCTGGGTGTGGCGGCGCACGCCTTTAATCCCAGCACTTGGGAGGCGGAAGCAGGTGGATCTCTGTGAGTTCAAGGCCAGCCTGGTCTACATAGTTAGTTCCAGGACAGCTGGGGCTACAGACACTGTCTCAAAAAGACAAAAAATAATAAATAATAAAAAAATACTCTTCACCCCCGCTAACTTCTGTAGCCTGCAAAGCCCAAGCCTAGGAGAGAAGTGAAAGGGAAGGGCTGTGACCAGAGGGCGTGCCCAGCTGTCTTTGATTTGTGTGGGGTTTTTCCACTTTGGATGCTGGATTTTTGAGAACACATTGAAGATGTGGCTCCATCCCAGGGAGCAGCCCTTAAGAGAGGCCTACATTACTGGTCCAATCTCAACAGGGTAAGTATGCTTCCAGAATTAATCACACCCAGCCCCAGAGAGCACTGTTCAGTTCACCCTGATGGAAAAGGAGACAGGAAAGGAGCCCAGCTGGGAGCAGGGTGGCACAATGCTAATAGCATAAAGGAATTTAGGAGCTTTCTCTGCCCCTTCTCAGTAGGTGACCTTGGCAGGGATCCAGCCCCCTGAACCCTGAACCTCCTTTCCTACTTTATTAAATGAAATCTCAGCCCTTCTCTTGCTGGGCTGGCTTCTAGTAATAAGAAAACAGTGACAACAACCAGAAAGGGTGCCCAGAAGCCGCTTCTACCCCGGGGAACCTGAGTATCTCATATACTGTCTTCCCCAAAGGTAAATAGCTTCCCTGTCCCCACTTGCTAGAGCCTGGGGTCTCATTCCTAGTAACTGAGGGACAACAAAACAGATGGGTCATAAGACTGGCCTCTGCTGTGGAAGCAAGTGGTGCCCTCTAGTGTTCCTACATAAGTGTTACTTCAGGAGTGATTCCTTAACCCCTGACAACAGCTGGCCTTGCAGCTTCTGAGCAGGCCTAGGTGTCAGGAGTCCTTGACAACCTTCAGTGTTACAGCTTTTATGCCTGGAGTATCTGAAACCCTTGGATCTGATGACTTCTTCTGACTTCCGAGGGCATTGCAGGACACAGGTGCACTTTACACACATGCAGACAATACACTCACTCATACACATAAAATAAAATAAATGAATAAATTTTTTAAATGGTAGTTAACACTTACTTGCCTAGTGTCCCAGAAGATATTTACCCATCTTTCTCAACAGGAGCACAGTTCATTGGGGGTTGAGGAAAGGTCCAGAGGTCCAGCAGTCAGGTTCCATTTACCTTTCCATCAATATAGAAAGCTCTGAGCTTGAATCTCTTCCCACATCAACACTGGGGCCATTGAGGCCATTCTGAAGGGCACGTTTCAGCTGGCCAGCAGACAGTATTCCCAAGAATGGTCCTACTCCCTTCACTCCCAGGGGAGCACTCCACTCTGACATCTGGGTAGAAAGGCACCCCAACTGCTGACCAGTAAGCATGCAACCAGCCTTATCCACAGGAAGATTCAGAGCCCAGAGCCCAGAGCAGAGCATGTCCAAGCAAATGCTGCAAACTCCTCCAGTCCCCAACCTGCCTGGCTCCTCCAGGCTTCAAGATCTTCAAACCTGACCTACAATCAGTTCTCAGAGACTGAGAAATTCAATCCTTGCCTACACTATCCTCCCTCTAGCTGAGACAGATGAGGGAGACCCACCTCTCCCTGGCGCTCTGGGCAGGTGTTAGGCATTGTTAAAGTACTGTTAAAATCGAGTCAAGTGTGGTGGCACATATACTTATAATCCTAGCACATGGGTGGGGGCTACTGGAGAGGCAACTCAGTGGTTAAGAGCACTGGCTGCTCTTACAGAGGACTAGGTTCGGTTCCCGACACCCACATGGTGTCTAACAACCATCTGTAACTCTAGTTCCAAGAGATCTGATACCTTCTTCTGGTCTCTGTGGGCATTGCAAGGCCAGCTTTGGCTAGTCTGGGCTACATGACACTTTGTCTCAAAAAAGAGGAAGAAAGAATATTCTCCCTTGTACAAGAAGTTAAAATAAAATTAATCTGTTAAAGTCACCTAGTGTAATGGTAAGTTCTTATTGTAACCACATTGATGGGGCTGAAGGGATGGCCCAGTGGTTAAGAGCACTTGCTGCTCTTGCAGAGGATTAGGGTTCCATTCTTGGGCAGAGAGATTTTTAAACCACTGGAGTCCAAAGAAGGGAAGCACAGGGCCAATAGGCTGACCCCATAAGGTCCTGGTGCCCAACCCACTGCCTCTAGTGCCCCCTCTCTCCAGAGTATCTGCTCTCTCTTGTGAGGCCATCTAGTCCTCTGCTACCAAGAGTAACTTGTGAATGTCCTGGTTGGAGATGAAAAATGATAACAGGAAGCCAGGAGGATGAACCATAAAAATATTCCCTGTTTTACAAGAATACAGGTAAGTTGGAGGTGTGATGGCTTATCTGAAGGCAACCCCAGGCCCCTCTTCAGCAGTCTCTTGATGATACTGGGATATCATCTTCCTTGTGCTGTTTTCTCCCAAGTTCTGTTAACCAGGGCCCTAGTGTCCAAGGCCAGGGTAATGAAGGTCCTGGGTCCCTTCACCTCCTAGACCACAGACACACTCATGCAGGCACACGATGCACATCTGCTGCTTGTCCTCAGACTGTGGCCCTACAGGAGCAAGCCTGGGTTGAGTAGCTTAAAGGACATTCATTCCAATACTTTCCTTTACGTGGACCTGTAGGGAGGTACTTGGGAAGAGTATGAGATCGGTGTGCTGTGGCATTGGTGTGGCATTGAGGAGGCTTTTAACTCAGATGGGGTGAGACCTGCAAGAAACTATCAAGGACCTGCAATCCAAGGAAGGAGAGAGCCACTGGGGCAGAGCTTTTAGAGGGATTCTGACACTTTGAAAGTAACTGGGGAAAAAGGAACAGCAAACTAAGAGCATAAGCATCATGCTTCAAGAAGAGTCTGATCTGCCTAAAAGTGCATGGGAAGTTTTTCCAGGGCACAGGGTATGGGTGATGAACACATTACCTGGGTATGGTGATTTACGCCTTTCTTTCACACACTCAAGATGCACCCTGTACCCAGGAGCTGGCCTTGCAATGTATGGGGCTGTGCCTGGGTCTCCAGGAGGCAGCTTTGTGGGGCTTGGAAGGAAGTCATACTTCTTGGTCTCCTTAGTATGGGGGCCTGGGGCACATCTGGCTTGACCATGATCTTCATAGGACCCTCTGGACACCTTTTCCCCTGGCCCATAGTTAGAAAGTTTCTCTGACATGATTGGGTCTCTGACACCCCACAAGGGTCAAGACTCTCTTAAGTACCTGTCATTTGAGGAAAGAAAAGCAAGTGTCTAAAAGACTAAAGCATTGTCAGTTATTCATTCTACAATGTTTACCAAGGCTTCCCTAAGCCTCCCTGGCTGGGCCTTTATTGGGCACCTGCCAAGCCATCTCAACACAGTCTCTTCTTTCTCTTTTTCTCTCAGACCCACCTGTACGTCCCAACCTGCCTTCTGCTGTCTGTGACCCACACGGCACTCAAACCTAAGCTCCAAGGCTGTAAGGGAATGCTCCACCTGCCAAGGAGGAGTCTTCATGGGAAGAGTAGGGCACTGCTCACCTGTTTCTCCAGGAAGAATTCAGTTGCGGGCCATAGGTGGTGGTGTAACCCAGCAAGGAGAGAGGAACAGATCCAGATATTAGAGTTGGAAATGCCACTTCTTCCCTCTGCCAGCCACCAGACTGAAAGACCCTGCTATGGCTGGCTTTGGCCATGTGTAGCGCCCTCTGAGTCCTGTGTCTTACCTAGATCTCCCTTCCCTCTGAAAACATGTTGGGGGTGTGATTAAAGAGTAGAGCACTTGCCTGGTGTGTACAGGCCTGCGTTCAATCCCCAGCACTATAAAATAAATAAATGTAGCAGTAGTCCTAGAAATCATGTTTATTGATTTCTATCTCATCCTTCCGGAAAAGAATCAAGATGGGGGTGGGTTTCAGCATCACCCACTCACCCTGACAGCAAGAGCTTCCAAGCACATACAGCAAATTACAGTGGCCATATCTTGTGTCTCACTAAATGGCCTGGATTGGCCTGGAACTTGCTACGTAGACCAACCAGGCTGGCCTTGAACTCACAGAGATCCTTGCCTCTGCCTCCCAAGTGCTGGGACTACAGGTGTGTGCCACCATGCCCAGCTACAGAGACTATATCTTGGAAAGGATTCCTCTGTAGATGTGAACTGGAAGGGGGTGAGCTCAGGGCCCCTGCTGCATTGGTCAGGTAACTGGGCAACAGCAACTTTCTCAAGCATGAGTGAGGGAAGCTGTGCCCATAGATTGTGAAACTAAGTTCAGATTTCTCTTCCGGGAGACGAAGGTCCAAGAGTCCATGGCATTAGCCTGCTTCCCTCCCTGCAGGTCACAGATCATCACCACCCTGGCTGGCATGTAAGGATTTAACCAGAGTAGATCATACAGTGACCAGGGCTGGAGTAGCTGGCCAGGGCAGTTCTATTTGCATTTCTTCTCCTGCACAGCCTGGGGGAGATAGGTACAAGCTTTGGTGAGAACCAGGGCCCATCCTCAATTAGGCCCCATAGGGGTGATTGTGGACAGCCAGGGAAGGGGTGGCAGGATGAAGGGAACAGAAGGTTGGGGTACAATATCATTCAAAGACCAGCTAAACCCAGAGCCTCCTACAGACTCTGTAGGAGCCAGAGGCCACAGCCAGTGGTTTAGCCCTGTCCCCAGGACCATCCTGGTAAAAGAGTGAGAATTTTCCTCCTCCTAGCCTTCCCTGTCTGAATGTCTTAGATTCCAGTGCCAAAGTGGGGCTGCCAGAGAGTAGGTATGTTCATCTGGGAGAAGGTGGGCTGCTCACCTAGTGCCCCTGGGAAACAGGAGTTCCTTGGCCTGAAGAAAAAAAAAAAAAAAAAGAGAAATCACATCATCATTAAGCCATGCTTCACCTAGGTGGGATGGCTTACAACTGTAACCCCAGCACTCTGGAGCCTGAAGCAGTTGGTTCAGAAGTAATCAAGAGGCACTATGTAGTGAGTTCCAGGCCACCATGGGCTACAGGGTGAGACCGGATCTCAAGAGTACTAAAACCATGGCCAGTGAGATGGCTGAATGAGTTAAAAAAAAGCACTTGCTGCCAAGGCTGACAACTGGAGTTCAATCCCCAGGACTGACATGGCCAAAAGAACTGATTCCCACAAGTTGTCCTGTGACCCTGCTCCCTGCCCCCAACACCATAGCACATATGTACCCACACATACTAAATAAAATAATTTTTTGATCCTTTTGAGACAGGGTCTCCCTGTAGCCCCAGCTGGCCTGGAACTCGCTATGTAGACCAGGCTGGCCTCAAACTCACAGAGATCCGCCTGCCTCTGCCTCCTGAGTGCTGGGATTAAAGGCATGCGCCACCATACCCAGCTCTAAACTAAAAAAAATTAATGTAGCCAGGCATGGTGGTGCACGCCTTTACTCCCAGCACTCGGGATCCGCCCAGAGACCTGGTCTACATAGTAAGTTCCAGGACAGCTGGGGCTACAGGGAGACCCTGTCTCAAAAAGACCAAAAAAAAAAAAAAATTAATGTAATAAAAAAAAAAAGTACTAAGGGGCTAGAGAGATGGCTCAGCAGTTAAAAGCACTAGCTGCTCTTGCAGAAGACCCAAGTTCAATTCCCAGCACCTACATGGTGGCTAACAACCATCTGTAACTCCAGTTCGAGGGGAATCCAATGCCCTTTTCCGACCTCCAAGGGCATTGTACAACATGGATACTTACATATCTGCAGTCAATACACTCATAGACATAAAATAAATATAATAAAAAATTTAAAAGGTACTAAAACCAATCAAACAAAGAAAAACAGGCCAGCTGGAGGGCCCAGGAACCCAGCTCAAAGGAGTCTGTGCATCCTGTTCATTCCCTGAGCTCTACAATCTATTCTTCCTCTACCACACAGAGGATAAGCAAGGATGGCAGAAAAACACATCACAGATCAATGTGCCCCAGGCCCTTTCAAATTGCTCATTAAGCCCACAGTGATGGCAATGGGAGGTATTATTTATTGACAGTCCCATTTTGCATAACGAGAAACTGGATGAAGGAACTGTCTACAGCCCTTGACAACTACTAAGGCTTTAAGGGAGCAGGTTTATTGAGTTGTTACTATGTGCTGGGCTCCAGGGGCACCATATCACATTCCATCATCCTCAGTAGCCCTGTGATGGACCATCTGCTACCATGGCCACTATGTGGAGGAGGGGCAGCTGCTCTGGCTGACAAGCAAGCCTTTGGTCACATGGCCCAGGTCCTCAGCCTCCATCCACCCTTTTACCAAGGACTCCAGCTACAGGAAAAAGCCAGTCCTCCAGAGAAAAGCTCATGCTATACTCTCTGGGATGATCCCCTGTGGGGCACACAGGACATTTGCTCCCCCTCTTACCCTCTTGTTTCTGCCCAGCAATCAGATTTTGAAGTGCCATTAGTAGGTGTATTTTGCCATGGCAGGTGGACAAGCATGCACAGTGTGTCCTCTCCCCCACCTCACCCCCCCTTCAGCCTCCTTAGGTACAACAGTCTATCCCCCAGGAGCCCAAGGCACTCACCTTTAGGGATGAACTTCAGTGAGCTACTAAATATTCAGAATCGGGACTGCCCTCGCTTGGGGCCATCATTCAGGAACTCATGGCCTAGCCCATTGCCACACTTGCCACAGGACACCTGGGAAGACCCCAACACAGTCACATGAGCTTCTAATGCATACAACAGCTATAGCAGTCACCCTACAGCTGCAGGCAGGTGGTGCTTCCTCCACTTGCCTATTTCCCAAGCTAAATGCAGCCCTGAGGGATGGAGCCTGTACAGGGAAGTGGTTCTGAAGCTCATGTCCTCCCAGCACACAAGCACTCTCAAAGCCTTTGGATACCAGCTCCCCAGCTGAGGTAATCAGACTGGAATAACCACAAAGGCCAGAGAATTGTGAGGGAGCAAAGGAAGGTGTGACTAGCTCTGAGGCCCTCCATAGCTAGCATTTGCCTAATACTCACCTTCAAAGCTTCAGGTCGATTGTGCTCAGGGCGCTTGGACACACTGTCTTCATGGATGGTCTCAGTGAATGCTGGCCATGGGGATGAGTGTGCATACTTTGAGCAACTGGAAAACAGCTCATAGCCACACTTGGCACACACATAGATACCTGTGAGAGCGAGAGCGAGAAGAGAGAGAGAGAGAGAGAGAGAGAGAGAGAGAGAGAGAGAAAGTAGAGACATCAGCTCAACCTGTCTGAAGCAAGCTCCTTAGTCTTTCCACCCAGCACTGCTCTCATTCTATGGGTAGGGATGATGACACACTATCCCCATGCACCACCCCCAGGGGAGGCACACGTAGCTCATGTTTGGCTGATATACAAGAGACCAGGAGTCTCCCTTCAGCAGCTATCCTTGGCGCTATGCTATGAAATCCTTAACATTTTATTTTATTTTATTTTATTTAAGGATTTTTTGTTTTTTTGGTCTTTTTGAGACAGGGTCTCTCTGTAGCCCCAGCTGTCCTAGAACTCACTATGTAGACCAGGCTGGCCTTGAACTCACAGAGATCCTCCTGCCTCTGTCTCCCAAGTGCTGGGATTAAAGGTGTGCACCACCACACCTGGCTATTTAAGGATTTTTTAAAAATATTTGTTATTTTTATTTTATGTGTATGAGTGTTATGCCTGCATGTAAGTAAGTGCATCTGTGTCCTGCAATACCTGAGGAGGACAGAAGAGGCTGTTGGATCCCCTGGAACTGGAGTTACAAACAGTTAACTGCCATGTGGGTGCTGGAATTCGAATCCAGGTCTTCTGCAAGAACAGTCAGTGTTCTTAACCGCTGAGCCATCTCTCCAGCCCCTTAAAGATTTATTTTATTATCTGTACGTGTGTCTGTGTCCAGGTATATGCATGTGAGTGCAAGTGCCCATAGAATCCAGATGTGTCAAATGCCCTGGAGCTGGAATTGCTGGCAGTTGTTAGCTACCTGATGTGGGTCCTAGGAATAGAACTTGGGTCCTCTGGAAGAACGTATGTGATCTAAAGCATCTTCCCATTTTCCCAGTTCCCTGCCCTTTCTTTGGGTTTTTTTGTTTTGTTTTGTTTTTTTGTTTTTGTTTTTTGAGACTGGGTCTTTCTGTAGCCCCAAATGGCCTGGAACTCTCTCTGTAGACTAGGACAGCTTCATCTCACAGTTTAATTTGGAGCCAGGCCTGCCTTTAGTCCCAACACTCAGGAGGCAGAGGCAGAAGGATCTCTGTGAGTTCAAGGCCAGCATGGTCTAAATAGTTCCAGGTCAGCTGGAGCCACAGGGAGACCCTGTCTCAAAAAGACCAAAAAAAAAAAAAATTATTTAGTTTGGGACTTTTGTTTGTTTGGTTTTGTTGGGTTAATTTTTGTTTGTTTGAGACATGGTCTCACAGTATGTAGCCCTGGCTTGCCTCAAACTCACAGAGCTCCACCTGCCTCTGCCTCCCAAGAACTGAGATTAAAGGTGTACACCACCATACCTGGTAAGCTTGGGGGTTTTTTGTTTGTTTAAGAGAAAAGGTCTCACACTGTAGCCTAGGCTGGCTTGAAACTATATAGTTCAGACTGGCCTCAAACTTATGACAATCCTACCTCAGCTGAACCACCATACCTGGCTAATATTTCCACTTTAAAGTGGCTTGGTATTGCATACACAATAAGGTATGTGGCCAGGAAGGAACCCCAGAAATCTGATGACAGCCTTTCCTCAACCTCCCACAATCTCCACACAGCAGGGCCCCTGATATGGCCAATGTAACCATATGGCCCTCGCCCTCCTCAAGTGATGGCTAAAGTCCTATGCTGGACACTAAGCTATGGACCTGCTCTCACAACAGGAAGAAACTGGCTCCAGAGAACAGGCCTCCAAGCCAAACAGGGACCCCAGAAAGACAAGAGTTGGGAGGTCAGGTTTCACCCTGTCCCCCAAATATCACCCAAATGGAAGGGGAAGGGAATATTGCAAAACTAAATTACATAACTGGAAGATTAGAAACAGGAACCTGCAAAACACTGAATCACCCCTCATCCACCATCTGAGGACAGACTCCCTGCCTGTGAACTGCTAAGCCTGAACCAGGAACTGGAGAGGAAGCAAAGAACAGAGTGGAGTTTGTAGCTTGAAGGCCCCTGGAGTGCTACAGCTGAGAGGGACTCAGGGGAGGGCTCCTGTATCAAGCAGGCTCTACAGATACCAAGAATCACACACAGCCCAGCCCTCTAGAGAGCTGACATCCAACCTTTCCCAGCCCAGGAACCCCAGTGTCCTAGTTTTTACCAAATTAGTCCAGTCTCATCAGAGCACAACTAGAAGGGGACTCAACAATGTCTCGCACAGCCTGGGTGCCCCAAACTGTACTAGTAAAACTTCACTGACCACTGGCAAGAGCCTAGTGGCACCCAACCAGGAGGCCTTGGGCAGAGCCAGGAGGCATCTGGCCCAGCACATTCTGTATTGAACACTACGTACAGAGCTTTCCCACTCACCTAGGGGATTCCGGGAAGGGAAACAGCTGGGTAAACTGAACCAGATGTCCCCATCGCTCTGCTCCAAAGCCCACCCTGAGGCCCCACTGGTGGCACCATCCCCAAACACCCAGTCTGACCCCAGAAAAAGCCACGTTCAAGGTCAAGGCCTGTCCTGCTTGAGAACAGAGATGCCTACAATGTCCCTGGACCCCGGAACACCCCCTCCTCCGAATCCTTCTTTCCCAAGTTCGGCCCTCTCTGGATCACTCTCTCCCCATTCCCGGCTCCACCCAGAGGGTGACACCCCCTCTAGAGCACGCCCTCCGTCGCAGTGCGCAAAGCGCAGGGTGCACCTGGCTCGAAATGATTCTGGAAAACCTCGCCCCGGAAGAAGCTGCAGAAAGACATGTCGACACACACGGACAGCTGCACATTGCCTACAGGGACACCCAAACCCTTCGACCCCAGATCTGGACCGAACCCGCCCCCTCCCCAGTGACCAATCACTCCCTAGTTCGCCCTCAGCCACGCCCCTGAAGACCAATCATGTGAGGGCATCAGCCCCCGACACACACACATCCCGCCTCCCAGAAACGCCACCACCAATGATCACTCAGTCCTTGTCGGGCACGCCCTAAACCCTGTCCCTCCCACCTATCCCTCCCAGGGACTAGGCTTCCGCCACCCGAAGGCCCAGTCCCCTGCCGAAGACTCTCCTGAGCCTCTTCTTTGAAGTCCCGCCTCTTTCACAGAAGCCCCGCCCCATGCCGAGGGCAGGCGTGGCTGCAGGAACACCAGGCTGCGGTGGTACACTTGGAGCTGGGCTGGCGGCCCTCCACCGAGCTGTATCTCTAGACTGCCCTTCCTCTGCGCTAAACCCCTCACCCTGAACCATCAACCCGCCTTTCCGCGCCCCCAACCCTCTGAACCAGGCTGAAGGGTTGCCTCAGGTCTTTATTGGACAGGAGGGGCAGGCAGCGGGTATGCACCCAAGGACGCTCCATCCCATGCAGCCTATAACTCTCCTGGGGTCTCTGGCTTCTCCTTCTCCACATGCTTCTTTTGGGGGCCCTGGGCGGAGTGAGAGAGACAGGAAGGGCGTTAGTCACGAGAGTCTGTCAATAAATAGTTCTTCTGACCAGCCCCAGGGCCATCCAGGGCCTTCCCTGCTGGACCCCTAAAGGCACCCTCCTTCCAGATACATCTGCTCCAGACTCTACTTTGAAGCAAGCAGGATGTGGAGTTTGAGCCCCAGAGAACAGGTAGGACTAGCTCACCATGAAGGCCCTCTTCTCCTGTGCTGTCTGAAAGCGTCCATGGCCAAACTTGGAAGTAGTGTCAATGAATTTGAGCTCAATATTCTCCATTGACCGGCGGCTGTGGTGCACTAGCAGGGACTGGGGATTCGTGAAAGAGGTATCAGTAATGGAGGACAGGGGCTGGAGAGATGGCTCAGCAGTTTACGAGTACAGGCCCCTCTTCCAGGGGACCCAGATTCGATTCCCAGCACCCACATAGTACCTAACAATTGTCTCTCACATCAGTTCCAGGGGCTCCTTGGGCATTGTACTTACGGGTGCACTTATTTACATGCAGACAAAACACTCATACACATAAAGTAAAAATAAATAAAGAACCAGCTCTTGGAATTGTTGATTCTTTGTATTGTTTTCTTTGATT